AAAAAGAAGCAAACTAAAGCAATTCCGAATTGAATTTAAAGTTGCATTCGAGTGACCTACACTAGTTTTCGTGAACCATGGAGTTGCATTCATAAAGATATAATTTTTTACAGTTAATATCTATAGAATGCGGTTCTTCGTCAACATACCCAGTATATTCCAGCATCGGTGTTTTAGTGTCCTTATCTAAGAGACATTTTTCTGTGCTCTGATGTCCTATATTGTGGTACATTTGCTCTTCCACCCATCTGCAAATCTAAAAAGAGAACTCGACTATTAAACAGCCTAGCGTGAGTTAAAGCTGTAAACTTATATAGAATGTCTCTCTCAATCAACATTTTAACTGCGTGGGTGACCCCAAAACTTTTTTGAACTTTTCCTGTGCCTGCTAATATTGATTTTCAGTTGAATTCCTACAAAGTTTAACACGGCCACCGAAGTAGTTTTTGCGTCACAGGTACCAAAGACTAACATTATGGGCGTTTGCAAGAGGGTGTAGCATGGCTGGGATTATACTTCTAGCATAAGGGAATGACCCCGGTTTGTCCAACGACGATCGAGAATTTACGTGATGCCATTATAGAAACCATATGTGTGATCACAGCACAATAGACTTACCGCTACATCCGAATGACATTCATTTCCTCTAAATGGCTTCCCTATCTTGAATGATTCACAGGGGTTAAAGCTGTATTTGTATCCCCTATAGGTTATCGTGAATCTATTTCGGAAGCAACAAAATAGTCTTTAATGTTCGTGCTGTCTCCGGTCTGCACACATCGGCCACATCCGTATTTCATATGCAGTTTCAAAGTTAGTTCTACCTGAGTTTTATAAATTCAAGTCAAAAAGAGAACATGAGAAATGCCCTCTAACAGAGGGGGGCTAACAAATGAAGTTTCGGTCAGATTTAGCCAGCGCCCTAGAGCTGTATTTGTAGATGCATTTTGCCATAATTAAAGAGTTGTTAGTGGTAGTTTCGGCGATTTAATAATCTGATCATCTGCGACAGTGCGTCCATCTTAATAGCAATGGTAAGGAATTCCATCGGAAATTCAGTTATGCCAAATTTCGGATTGCAAACTTGATACCGTTAAAACAAGGAGCCATGAAAGGTTGTGATCACAGGGCTTCTGATCCTAATCGGTATCGGCGCTACAACTAAATGATAACGTTTTTGTGCTGCTGTTGCTGCTAAGAGTTTCTCAAAGAGAAGGCTTGCCACCTTAGTAGTTGAACAATTATCA